AGGGTGGAGGGGGTGAAGGGAGGGCTAGGAATGGGGAAAAAATAAGAACCAAGATGCATCATGTAAAGGTACAAGTTCCCAATGAGAAATGTAATTGTGTTGTATACCTAAAATGTACAAATAAAAGAATTTAAGAAAAAAAAATTATTGTATACTTAAAATGTACCAATAAAAGAACTGAAGGAAAAAAAAAAAAAGGCAGTGCTTCAGAAAAAAAAAGTCAGGAATTTTTTTTAGTAAGAGTCCAATAGCAAGTATTTCATCGTCTATGTCACGATTTGAATTCAATGCTCCTGATGGGAAAGCAGCCATAAACAAACGTAGATACAAGGCTGGCTGTGGTCCAAGCAATAACTTTATTCCTGAGCCACAGTTTGTTTTCTCCTGGTTTAGACTAATGTATCTCAAAGTATGGTCCACGCAACAGCACCATGAGCAACAATTGGGCCTTTTATAAAAATGCAAATTCCTAACTGGCCCCACTTCAGGGTCTCTAGAGGTGGCATGGAGAATTGATGCTGTAAATAGTGCTCCCAGAGGTACTGATGTTTGTGCCATTTTTAGACCACTCTGCCAGGATTTGACCTCTTAGTTGACCCAGAGCCAAGTTCGTTTCCTGAGGCCTCCTTATTAGTTACATGTAGAGTGTATGTTTGACCAAAGTATGAACAGAACACTTGACTAAGGGGTATATAAAGCTATGAAAAAAAATCAAGGTAGACATAATTTTAGTTTGGCATGAATTACTGAATTGAGTACAGGGTATAGCAGATGAGATGTTTCAAGTTTTTCCAGGGCCATCTGATCTATATTTATGGTAATTTTATACCAAATAGAAACCCAGGGATTTAAAATGACTCCTGTTCCTAAAGGTTTAATATATAACCAGAGAGCCACAAATATGTTTCTCAAAGTTTCAGTTAGTCAGAAACAGGCCATGCCTCTTGCACCTGTTTTCGCTCTTTTGACCTGGCCTGGCACAATGTGAGACAGACTTTCATTCAGTTTTTTCCTAGAAGCACCAGAGTTTGGGCTTCCTCTCCCTGAGGGTCTAAAGCTATCCCCTATGTAGGAAAACCAAGTCAATTTAAGGCAGAGACATAAAAGATATAGTCTCGTACATTCTCCAGGGGAGAGCAGTTTCTGGTCCAAGTCACCAGGAATAAGGCCTGCATTCAATTTTGATCCTTATCTAGTGAGAACTTCTGATGTGTTCTCATTTGGTCAAAATTCTGAAAGTACAGAGGAACAACTGGTAGCAACATCAGCGCTCAGGCCATTCCTATGTAACTTCATGTCAAGTTAAAACATACTTCCTTTATTAGAAAACAAGTACCAACATATAGACAGGGGAAATTAGTTCTAGTGTTCTAAAGTACCACAGAGGGGCTGGGAAAGTAGCTCAGTGTGAGATCACGGGTTTAATCATCAGCACTGCAAAAGAAAAGGAAAGAAAAGAAGAAAGTAACAAACGAACTGTAGAGTAACCACGGACTATGATTCATTGAATATTTCAAAACAACTAGAAAAGTTTCTGACATATAGAAATGATAAGTGTGCAAGGAGATAGAACTAATTACCCAGATTTTATCATTAGTTGTTGTATACATGTATCAAGTTATCATACTGTACCCTAAAATATATAACATTTTATGTCAATTTTTTAAAGTTTAGGCCTTTCTAAAAATATATTTGCTTTGATTCCTACCCTATTGTCTTATCCTTCTAGTTCTCTGAAGGACTTTCTTGGGTTTTATCTTTTGCATTGTTTTGTTTTGTTTTGCTGGTACCACGGATTGAATTCAGTACCTTTGCACTGAGCTAGATCCCTATTCCTTTTTGTCATTTTTCATTTTGAGACAGGGTCTTATTAGGTCCCTAAGTAGTCCAGGTGGAACTTGAACTTGTGATCTTCCTGCCTCAGCCTCCCAGAGTAAGGGAATTGCAGGCAAACACCACCATGCTCAGCTTGAAGGATTCCACAATTTCAGAAAAGCTATTGTAGGCTTCCCTGCAGAGTGGAGAAGAGGAGATTATGAACTTGAGCCTCAGTCTTGATTACTGAGTATTTTCCAACTGAGATGTCTCTAACAGTCCAACATTCCAACCACTTTTCCCTAATCACATTCACCTGTAATATTCAACAGCACGAAATGACAGTATTGTTACTAAACCACAGATAATTGCCTTAATGACAGTAAATGACTGGAAAATACCCCATGGAAATTACAGCATCTTCTAAAGAGGCCTCCAGCCTCCCACATGCACAACAGTAATTTGCCCTATTTTACTAATGTGCAGTCTACATTGAATCACAATTATTTTTGTACAAGTATTTCCCACCCCTCATGAACTTGTTGGAGTTTTAAGAGAAGTAATTCTTCATTCATCTCTGCTCCCAAACATATTCCTTGAAATAGAGTTGATAATCCCTAAGTGCATCAAATAAAAGAGGGAAAATGGAGCTGAGGGATGGGTCAGTGGTAGGCCTTGCAGGAACAAGTTCCTGGGTTCAATCCTCAACAGCAGAATGAAAAAAAGAAAGAAGAGAAGGAGAAAAAAAAGGGAGTAACCAGACTATAATCAGATTATTTTTTAGCCTAGAAGATAAAAAAACAAGATTTTTTTTTCTTTACTAAATGCTGTTATCCTTCCTAAATTTAAAATTAATTTCAGAGATAAGCTGGGAAATAAGCAAAAGTCTTCCTTAATCTAGATTTTATTTTTTTGTGAGCTTCTTAGATGAAAACATAAAATTTCTGATGAAAAAGCCTTAGCGTTCATTTTCACAGTGATAAATACAATAAAATTTTAATTATTCCTATTTAATGTTCTGGCAAAAACATGTAAGACACCCTATATGGATAACTCCTTCTTCTGTAGAGGCAGAAGTGGGGCATTCTTTCTTATTCCACAGTGGAACGACAACATGGGGTCAGAAAGGTAGTATATTCCTCCAAGTCCCTACCTATCAAACATATTACGAATACAAGTAAGCTCCTGTAAAGGACTTTCCTGGTCGAGAAAAAACATTAGGTCACAATCTATTTCAGTTCAAGACCAGCCTTCTATTTCCCCTTTGTGTATGTAGAGTATTTGTTATAGTGTTGCTCAAAGGAATGTCCCTTTGTGATGGGAGAAGGAGGGTCATCAGGAGCAGGTAAATGGCGGCTTCCGTTTATCAAGCCACCATGGTAGGCTGGGAACGTGAAAATATCATCTCCAATTGTCATAAGGAACAAGGTACCAAATCAGGGCACCAGCAATTACATAATGTGCCTATATTCACACTGGAAGACCAATCTAGGACACAGAGTAGTAAGTCCACATGATGTCAAAGCCCCTCTTATTTCTTCCCCAGCACATTCCTTTTCTGAGATGTAGCTAGAGAAAGTGTACATCCCCTATTGCTTAAGATGTAGCCAGGCAAAGTGTGAACAGCATGGGCAGGAAGGGAAAAACTAAGAACAAGTTTCAAGTATGCAGCCACTGATACAAGCACTGCAAAGCAACATCTAGATGTGAGATGCATAATGCTTTCCTTAGTAGGAGACAAGATAAGTCTCTAGTTCTTATCCATGAAAACCTGAGGTACAGGAAAGTTAGTACCTGCTGTGATGTCAGCTAGGAAATTCTCTCCAGTGTTTTTCCAAAGGACCACTCTCTCAGAATCTAGCTAGACAAACTAAAATTTCACACTTTGCGGGGGGGTGTTATTTTTAAATCTTGTGAAGATGGCTTTATTAGTCACTTCCTCAAAGGAGAGGACCACACAGATCAATTTTTTTAAAAACCTACAAACAAATGCTAAACTTCTGCAAGTACTTGTGATTCATTGCACATTTCATCTACTTCTGTTCTTCTTTTTGGGCTTTCCAAGCATATGGAAAATACCAGCTGGTGTGACCTACCAGAGAGTTCACAGTAAATGGCTGCTCCATGCTGTCCTTCTACCAAAGGAAGTTGTTCACTGTCTCTTCTCAATCACCTCATCTGTTTCAAAGACAAAAATCAAAGCTAAGATTATTTGTTGAGAACCCAAGTCTCAAATCCCAAACCCCATGTTCAAAGAACATAAACACACTGAAGTAACTTACATAACTCGAGTGTTTAGAAAGGCTTTTGGAAATCTATTCCAGAAAACATAATACCATGGGTTGTTAGGGTTTCTTGAAGTTGACCTTTAAAAATAGAGGTATGAAGGGAATTCATATTTAAAGATTTGCTGAGTATTCTTTTATTTATAACTCTAAGCAAAGCTATAAAGTAGTAGTTTCACTTTTTTCAAAGGGAGAAAAAAAAGCATCATGTTTAAAAGCAAGAACGCCGGGACCATGGACTACTTGGAGCCAGGATGAGTTTAAACTGAGCCTTGGATCTGTGGTAGGCAAAATTCTAATGGGCCTATGATACCTGCACATTGGCATCTGTAGGTTTGTGTAATTCACTCCTCTTGGTTGTAGATAAGACTTGTACTTGGCTTCTAACTGATAATACATGGCAAAGGTGACAGGGTATTACTCCCATGATTAGGTTACATTATGTTTCAAAGGTAAAGTGATATTGCAAACATATAAGGCCATTTATCAGCTGATGTGAAATTAATCCAAAAGGAGGTAATCCTGGGTGCTCCTGACCTAAAGAGGTGAGAATTTTAAAGAAAGGAGATGCTCTTCTGCTGGCCTTGAAGATCCATGAGTTCTGCTGCTATAAGAAAATCAACTCTGCCAGTAACCACATGAACTTCAAACAGAAGCTCATACTTTCTGAAACAAAGTAAGCTGTGCCCAAGATGACTGACACACAAAGAAGTGAGACAACAAGTGTAGGTTGTCTTAAGTCATTGAGTTCATGAAAATGTGTAAAGGAAATAGAAAACCAATATGCTAGCTGTATGACCACAGGTAAGTTACACATCCTTTCTGTGCATCTGAAAAATGGAGAAGTAAAGTACCCATGTCATATGACTTAGCATATAAAGTTCTTAGAATAGTTCCCAGTATAGTCAATATTTTATAAGCGTTAGCTATTATTAGAATCTTTATTTTATAGATGAGGAAATTGCAGCTCAAAACAAGTGCCTGAGTTCAAATATTAACTCAATGTATGTATGTTGGTCCTTTCCTTTTTATGCTAATGTAGGTCACATACTGCATTATCACTTTCTACTTCTAGCTTTCTTGTGTTCCTTATACTTCACTGTAATCACTTAGGTGACTTTGGATACCTCTTCACTAAGTTCTTCATTTAGGAAACAGAGGAGGAGCTATATTCTCCTTAGTTATAACATTCTGTGACTCCAGAATTCTCAGAAATAGATCAGTCAATTCCTCCCTGCTATTTTCTGGCCCAAATCCATGGCTGAGAACCTCTTCAAGGAGGTCACCCTGTCTCCAGGTGTTCTAGTCTTTCTTATTGTCTCCGGCCTTCCCTGGAATAAAAACTCCAAGCCTGCAGGTTACAAAAATACCCAAGAAAGAAATGATCACTGAGAGAGTCACAGTTACAGCATGAGTTTGAAAATTTAGGCACCATTGAATATGGACAATACCAACTGGGGAATTACTGCTTTTCAGCTAGAAGAAATAAACTGGGGGGTGGGGGGGGGAGGAGTTAAAGAGACAAGCAAAGTCTTATGGGAATCAGGAAGGAGTCAGAAACAGAAACAAGGAAATACTGGTCAATGGATGATTTTGGCCTTCTAAAGGGTAGAATTATTTCCTTTAAAAGCTACTCAGAGCCAAGCATAGTGGAGCACATCTGTAATTCCAGCACTCTGTGAGGTTGAGGCAGCCAGATCACAAATTCGAGCCCGGCCTGGGCAACTTAAGGACTTAGTGAGACCCTATTTTAAAATAAAAAATAAAAAAGCAGGAGTGGCTACAGATGTAGCTCAGTGAGAGTGTTCAATTCTTAGTACAAAAAAAAAAAAAAAAAAGTTACTCAGGACCCTAAACAGAAAATAATTTTAAAAGTTGGAAAAATGATAAAATCATATAACCTAAGACCTATTTCAAATGCAGATTTGTGGGATCCACCCACCAGGATTCTGAGTCCATCTATTTTAAGCCCAGTAATAGGTACTGTTTTTTAGAACATGGCCCAGGGATTCTGACACATGAGGCCTCCAAAGCAGTATTTTGAGAGGCATTGCATGTGACAATGTGTCAAGGTGGATTCTTAGTTTCAGACAAAAGCACTGACTTTTGAATTCATGGAAAGATAATGGGAGGATTACATATTTTCAGGAGGGCCAGAGAAACCTGGCTTTTGGGCTGTAGTTGCAGGACTACTCCAAATCACTCAGAAGCACTGGTCTGGTGAAGGGGCAAAAAGTTTGGAAACTGCTGCTCTAAACCAACCATGCAAACAAACAGCACAAAAACTCATGATGCTATGTCAATTTAACCAGAAATAAAGTAGGCTGTACAAATCTAAAACATGAGAAATGAATGGCAAGTGTTGCCTTTCATTTGTGCTAACCAGAGCCTTGATAAAATAATCAGAAAATTTTAACTGTGAGTACAGCACAATAAGAAATATCTACTTCACAGAGCCTGAGATCCACAAGTGCAATGGCAGTGGGCTAAAGAGCCCACAGCACACAGCTGTCCAATGAAACCCTGGTACTCCAGCCTTCCTTTGAGTGAGTGGCCCTGTCACCATATTTGGGCTGATAAGGTGTGAGCAGAAGTGATCCAATCAGTGTCTGGACCCTGCCCTGTAAAGGAAGGGACATGGCCTTCTCCAGCCGCCTTTCATTCCCATCAGCTGGAATGTCACTCAAAGGTAACCCCCGGAACATGGGGAGGAGCCAAAGCAAAACAAGAAGGAAAAGGAGCATCTTAGTTTGCTTACATCGCCCATCGGGGGAGAAACAAATGTCCACCTTGCTTAGTGCTTTGAGTTGTTTATTTGCTTCAGCAGCTAGGCCTGCATCCTGACAAAGGCAGCGGGTGCAGCCCGTTCGGTTAGATGCATCCTCTGACACCCTCCCTTCCCCCAGCCTCAGCACCCTCTCTGTCCCCTTCCTCACCTTTCCCTGGTACAGGAGGTGCCAGATCTAAGCCCTAGCACCCGGACCTTACTTGTTCCAACAGTGGACTAACCAAATAGAATGCTAAGCCTCTGATAAGGAAATCAAAGCCATTTCACTTTTGTTCTCCTTTTCCAGAAAGAGGAAAAACACACAGCTTAAGTGTGCTATGATGATAAGCAAATGATCCTTCAGGGAAGGAAGCAATCGTGTAACATTCACCACACGGAGAGCCTTCAGCAGCTGGCAGGGCTGCTGAGGGGAAGACAGGCAGGAGATAACTGCAAGTGCTAAAGACAAACATTTCGATTTGGAGAATCAGAAACGCACTGAAGTAGAGAGTCAAACATGGGATGTATTCAATGTCAACCAAAAATAAATTGTAACATTTTTTTTAAGAAGAGGATCAGCGTGCTCTAAAGCCTCTCAGTGGACAAGCCTGGCTAGGAGCTCAGCTCAGTCTACTCACTGGGGATCCTTATGCTCCTCCTGCACAAAGGGCCCCACTTCCTGCAAGCACCACAGCTTGCAAATGACAGGAAAACATCCACCAGGAAGGTCTGATTTCCTTTCAGCCTGCTCTCTAGCTTCCACCCCCAGCAGAGCCCACATTTTTTGAGGCTTGATAACATCTGAACTATAAACAGATGTGGTATATTTAACCCGTGAGATGCCTTTGGGGGGTTCTTTTTTACAGTTCCTGACTTCTTGTTTTTATCCCTAACCTTTTTTTCCCCATAGACGCAACCATTTTTTTCTCTATAAACTGATCTTTTACGGAGGTCTCAGGGAGTATCTGCTTTCTGTTCATTCCAATGCACAAGAGTTTGGGCACCAGGTGTTGGAAGCACATTACATTCACAATGAGCACAGGGAGTCCAACCCCTGACCCAGAAGCTCAGCTGGGCTGACAAGAAGCTGCCAGAACCCAGTGAGCTGATGATGCACCCAGAGGGGTGTGGGTTACTTTCCACACAAACAGCAGCATCCTCTTTGCTTTTGGGCCCCAATTCAATGTCTCTAAGTCTCAATTTCCTCAAGACACTATGGAAGAAGCTCTAGGATTCTGCCTTTTAAAACAAGTAGCAAACCAGGGGTGGTGGCCTATGCCTATAATTCCAGTATTTGGGAGGCTGAGGCAGGAAGATCCAAAGCTTAAGTCCAGCCTGGGTAGTTTACCAGGACCCTGTCTCAAAACAATAAATAAAAAAAGAGTTGAGGATATAGCTCAGTGTAAAGACCCTGGGTTCAAGCCTCAGTATACATACACACACACACACACACACACACACACACACGCACACACAAATAATGCCAAGAATGAACAGAGAAAAATATTTGACTAACCACAGTGCTTATTTTGTGACTTTTTAAGCCTTTTTTTCTTTCTTCCTCCTTCCCTCCCTCTCCTCTCTCTTGCTCTGCCCCTCCCCCTCCCTCTCCCCTGCCATCCCCTCTCTCTTCTTTTGCAGGTTGGGGATCTCATCCAGAGCCTCACACATGCTAGGCAAGTGCTCCAAGCACTCAGCTCTACCCTTAGCTCAGCCCAGCTTTGTGACTGTCTTTCAGCTTTAATTCACTAATTGTTTTTGTTTACTTTTTAAAACTTTGTTTATAGCTAAGCTCAGAATCCTGACCCACTTTCACACATAAAGCAACATTTTCCAGAACACAAAGACTACCAGACAGTGAGTAGTCTCCTCGGCGACTAGACACCCCACAAAGTGCTGGTGACACCATCACCAGGACTTGTCCTTTCCTCTCTGAGTGCCACACTGACCTGGATAAGCAAGTATCAACTGCCAGCAGCTGAGTGAATCCAGCAGCCCTCATGCCACTTCTGGAGTCTCATAACTTACTGGCCAAACCACAGCCTTTCTTTTCCCCACTGGGTTACAGTCCATGTTTTCCAGGAAGTACACAGTATGGTTACTTAGTGGGAAATACATAAAGAAAA